GGATGGATGGATGGATGGATGGATGGACCAATGTTGAGTGGATGTAATGAGGCCAGAACCAGGTTGAAAAATATCAGTTACAGTTACCCTTTGTGTTCCTGTTGCTTTGAGCTTATTGTTGGGTGTTTGCTTTTATTTCTCCTGCCTCATTGACATTGATTGTCTTTACCTGTGTGGTTACTCTCACCTGTGCTTCATTTCCACCAGCTGTTTCCCATTCCCTGATTAGCTAATGTGTATAAACGGTCCAGCCCTTCTCCTCAGTCGCTGTCTTAGTGTCTGTTTGTCTTGTTTACCTACCCATGTGGGCACCTTTTTGACTCCTGAAGGTTTTGATTCCTAAACCAGTGATAGATCATGAACAAAACTGCTCATTTAGTGTCGGGAGGATCTCAGTTCAGGGATATAGACATGTAGAACATGCTACCCTGCTGGGACTGTTTCACAGACTTCTCCACACAACCACTGGAAATTTATGTATAGTTTGGTTGCTCTGTGTTTACCGCTGATTGCAGTGATTAACATCAGCCTACTGAGCTGTCTGTTAGGTAGATGAGGGACCTCCTTCATCCAAATGGGACTAATAACAACTGACAGTGGTCATTAAACAGGTTGATTAAATCAGATTTGGACGCTTTGATGTGGTCTGGGTCAGGTTGTGTGTTCCGGTACGTCTGTTGCATTCCCGGACACTTGGTTACCCAAGTCCACACAAATCAGCTCCAGAAGTAGGAACAAAGACTCTTGGCTGTAGTACAATACGCCAACAAAAACAAAGTCTTTCTTCCCTGTAAGGACCTTTGCAGTTCCTACCTCTCTTCAGCTTTTTCCCACCCATACCTCCTCTTTTCTCTCTAAATTCAGTCTCTTCCCTCCTTCTCCTTCTCCTCCTGGTTTGTCTCTCACTCTCTGCTTCTTTTTCTGTTTGTGTGTTTTCTGACAGGACAACCATACATGGACATGGAGAAAGGAGCGCCTGACGTCTCTTCTACACTCAGAAACAAAGCTGGTGTCTCTCTTTCTCCACCACTAATGCCCCGGCAACTTCAATAAGAGGGAGAGACTAAAACACAGAGACAGATAAAGGGGAAAACAGCAAGCAAGAGCAGAAAGAGAACAAGAGGAAGAGTGAGGCTGCACAACCATAATCTCCACAGCTGAGAAACACTTAGAGGGAGGGAGGCAACACAGGCGATTCTGTCTATCTTGCAACTTCAGGGACCATCATCACAATTTAATAAGAATTTGAAAGGCTGCGGTGCTGCAACAAATCAGTCTTCACAGGGAAAGAGGGTGGGTGAGAGAGCTAGAGTCAGACAGAGAGAGAGAGCGAGAGAAAGGGAGGAGGCCAGACACAAATGTTTTAACGCTTCCCTACCTGGATTCATATCTTTCTGCCTTTTCTTGTAAATCCCCGCAGCAATAAACCTGTGACGGCAATATCAAAGAACCACTTTATTATTATTTTACACATAATCTATTGTGCTAAGACTGCTGAGATTTCAAGAAATTATGTTTTCCTATCAAGAGAGTTCATATTTTCAAGAAGTGCATCCTGTTTAGAGCAACAGGACTGAGAGGAACTTGTAGAGAAACAGAGAAATATTTTAAAAAAGCAGCGTTTACCCTGAGAAGTGTCTCGCAGGCCAGACGGAGAGGAACAGAAAGGACGGCGTCACGAGAAGACCATCCAAACTGCAACAAAATAAAAGCACGGGCCTCACGCTTGTTCATCGATCTGCTTTCCTGCCCCTTTACAGCTTTTTTTCATGGCTTGACACCCAACTGCAATCTGGCCCCTCCCTTCCCCTTTCCTTCCCCCCCAACATGTCCAACCACCTCGCATCTCACTGCCCAGACCGCCAAAGAAAATCAGGGCAGCTGAAGAAGTGAGCAAGGCTTTAACCGAGCCAATAAACATTTCATTAGCTCCATCCACTCTTCCCTCCTTCGACGAGGACAAGAACTCTCACACTCTACAGGTGGGCGCTCTGATACAACATGGCAGCCGGCGTGGCAACATGGCTGCCATTTGCACGGGCGGCGGCAGTTGGTTGGCTGCCGCTGGCCAAAAAGACGATGCCCAAACCTCCAGTGGACAACTCGTCCAGATCGGACGAGATCCTGTACCTCAACGTCAGCGGGGTCAGGTTCCAGGTGGGTGCTGGCGTCCACTGAGCGTGCTCTAAAAATGCTTTCAAAAAAGTGGCTGCAAGTTACAGGAATGTGTGATTTCACAGTTGAAAGCTTTGTGACTGACTTTGTAGAAAAGTTCGAGTTATGTAAAGAGAAAATTTACACTATTTTCATTGAACATCAAAGGTTGAACTCAAAACAATAAAAAAGAAAGAAAGAATTTATTTTAAAAACATGAAATAAAAGCAACATCTTTTCAATTTCTTGATGCATCCTCAATCATCCAGGAGATCTTTTCAATCGTCCTAACCAAGAATGAAAAGATGTAGTAAGCGTGTCATCAAGGCCAATGCCTTCTATTACACTCCCCAAACATACTTAATAGATTAAAAGTAAAACTATGACTGTAAAGTTTATATAAAAACTGTAAGTGAAATATAATATTAGGTTCTTTTTATTGGTTTTTAGTGTAAAGGACACTTACTGTGTGTTATGAGCTTCCATCCACTCACATTCTCACCTAGGACCAAGTTAAATTCCCACTTTACTTAACGTGCATGCCTTTAAATTACGAGTGGAAGTTGGAGTACCAAGACAGACTTTTTGACCTTTCAATAAACAATATGAAACCCTAAAAATAAAAAAACGGCAAGCAAACAACAAAAACTGAAATAAATGAAAAATCAGAAAATAATTTTTTTTTACATTTAACAGGATGGAACAATTAAAACGTTGATGTTGTTGAATAAAAACGATTTGGATTAATTGACAAATGAAATGCATAAAAACTTAACCTCTTACAAAGCATTGTGTATAAAAATCATCAGATATTTCTTTAGTAAATAATTTTCTGTTTCAGAAAATTAAACTGTTGAGATTAAATTAAATGTTGACATTAAGAATCTCATATGTGAGAGTCGCCCTGGGAGGAAAGGAAAGCCGAGGAGCTGGGCACCACGTTGGCATTATGTATGCCATGCTCATAATCTCCTACGTACATAACTGATGAATAACTAGAAGAGTTATTTTCTGGGTCTCTGAGGATCTAATGAATGTAGCATGTGTTTGAAAGAAGAAGCCCAGAACACACCTGTTTGTCCTGCTGGTGTCCCGCATGAATGAATCCTTAACATCCACCACCCTTAGCTTCAGCAGCCTTAACATCCACCCTACAGAGGACGTACCTCCACTCGTGTGTGTCACTGCTGGGTGTAAGTTATGCGTTGTGGGCTTGTCCAATATGAATGTAAATCCTCGGGATGCCGGGCTGCTTCGTGACAAATCAGAGGCCTCGTTTATCAACCGCCTGTGGTGCATAAGCAGTGTTTATGCTCGTGTCCACGTTCTCCATCAAACTTTTCTTTTTTTTTCTTGGTCTTTAGATTTAAAAGCACTCTTCTGCATGTGTAAACACAATTCCAGCAGTAGACAACGCCAATATTAATATCAGCTGTGCAAAATTTGCAGGTTGTCAGCTGTAGTTCAATAATTATTTATTTATTTATTTATTTTTTGCAGTGCAACATGAGTGAGTGAGTTTCAATTACAGCAAGCAGCTTTATTTCCCTGACATTCAGTCTTAAGCGAGGTTCCCTTTGTTATGACAAGAAAATGCAGAGTTTCTTCAGGTGAATTGTGCTTCTTTTAAATTAGTTTCTGCCTCCTGCTGCGTCTTTTTGATGTCAACAAAGCCTTTGTTACACACTGTGTTTGTTGGATGAGCAGCTCCATAAACTACAGCAGATCCAAAGATTCTGTTAATGCCATTCAGTTATTATATATTATATCATTTTATATGCATTATATAATAATTCAACATTGTTACATTTCAGTGCCCCCTCCTTCCCAGTTTTTTTTTTCTGTATAGCACAGTCTATTAAAAGCAAGTGTATCAGATAATGATGATGATGATGATAATAATAATAGTGAAAAACAAAAACAGTCCTCAGTGATCCTGGATTTTGATAAGAAAAACTACCTTAATTAGACTCCCAGCTCTCTTAGAGTTATTACTTTTTGTTTGTTTTAAGTTAGCAGGTCTTAATTTGTCGTTATTTTTTCTCATCAAAGTTGACCTATTTTCCTTTCACATAAAAACAAACCAGTGTATTAACTGAATCATGCTGTATGCTATATTAGCCTATATTTGTTCAGATTTTGAAAACGATGCTTTGGCTATGAGCAGTTACTCTTCAGTTATTCCTGAATGTTTACTGTTGTGGGATTACTGTAAAACAGCACTGATCCACACAGTTAGGCAGGGGGATGTTATTCCAACACAGCAAGCAGGAAAGAAATATTCCCAGCTCCACAAGAGAACGTTTAGAGCAGAGAACAGCTTTTGGGATTATTTGTAGGCTTCATGCAGACCTCATTATTCGAAGCTTTGGTTGTTTAATATGAGCCTTTCAAACATGGAATTCAACCTGTGGTGTTGGTCGGTTTTCTAGTCATTGAATGCGACAGTACTGAAATCAGGACCTGCTGTAAACACTCCCCAAATCAAACTGGACTGAAATTCCATTTGCAGGTCCTACAAAGGTCAACTTCTAATTTCCTCTAAAATTATTCGTACATTTGTCCTTTTTAATGAAGAAGAGCACTCTAAAGGTTATTAAAACTCATTATCTGTTGAAGTGTTACAGTCACTTGACATTTTTCTAGGAGGAAAATTAAGAGCTCTGTCACTTACAGAACTATTTCCAGAGACTCGTGCTCCCGTGATGTGTTCCAGCCACGCTCCTACTTCCACGGCAGCAAGTTGTAAATCCTGTACGTCTAATCAGCGCATTGATGTGCATTTGGGTAGAAATAATAATAAAATGGCTCCACAACTAAAATAGATTTGGGTAGCTTTCAGCGTACTTTCTGCTGCGGTGGCAAAATGAGTGGAAAGTTCTTGTCGAGCTTGTGACTTTGGCCTCATTTTTCAAAACAAAATGCAGCAGCTTGAAGTTGCTGTGAAAATAGAAAGTTACAGTAATGCTGCCATTTAATATGGAATCCTAAACAAAACAGCAGCGGCATTAAAAAGGCCCTGCTTCACCGTTACCTTTAGTTACTGACAGTCCACTGCTCCCATCTAACATCTCACTGCCTCCTTCAAACAGCACTTTTGCTTTTCACATGTGAATGTGATATTTGGATTTTTATTTTTAGAATCTTTTGTACATTTTACACGGGTCACTTCACTAAGCCCCAAACCACCAGTGGGAAGGTTACTTCAGTTTAGAAGTCGTTACCACGTTCTTCACTTTCTCAAAGGACTTGTTATATTTGATTTATTTTCAAATAAATGTTACCAACTTGGGAATGAAGCAGAACATTCCTCTAAACGCTCAAACCTTGACATCTAGGATCTCACTGCTGGCAGCATTTTAAAACAAGCTTTTCTCTTTTCTCTCCACAGACGTGTTTGTCGGTGGGCTATAGCAGTGCAGCACGATTTCATGTAGTTGTCGGAAACTAATCTGGCAGTTTGTTTGCTTCCTGCTGAATTTTAGATCTTTTTGAAACAGAAGTAGTTTGCTTACACTGACGGACTGCTTATAGCAGCCTAGATACTTTTGCTATTTGAGGGTGTTATTTCCAATGTAACACCGTGGACGAAATTGCATGTCCCTGGAACGAGCTTCAGTAACTGTGGCCTCCACCAACCCACCTGACTCTCACAGCATGCTGCTTCTTTGGGCTGTGCCTGATCAGGTCCCATGGGGCTAATGTCTGACCGCCTCAAAGCTCAGGGAAGTGACTGAAAGAATACAACTGGATAGGAACAAATTTGTCTGGGAGGGTGAGGTGTCCAGGAAGGCCTCAAAGTAGTGACACCACTCCTTCACATTAAAAAAAAGCATGTTGAGGTGGTTCAGGCATCTCACTAGGATGCCTCCTGGATGCCTTTTAAGCAAGGTATTTTGGACATGTCCTCCTGGGGAGGAAGCCCCAGGAATCATGTCTCTCAGCTGGCTTGGGAATGTCTTTGTGTCTCCCTGGTTAAGCTAGAGTCGGTGGTCAGTAAGAGGGAGGTCTAAGCTGCTGCCCCTGCAACCTGAATCTGAATAAGTGGTATAACATAAAAAGATGGACGATTGATGCTTACTGTACATGAGAACCTGAGAAAACTCCTCTATTCTTATTTCTTTTCCTTTTTTCTTCAGACATGGAAGAACACCCTGGACCGTTATCCTGACACACTGCTGGGCTCCTCTGAGAAAGAGTTTTTCTTCAACGAGGACACAGAGGAATATTTCTTTGACAGAGATCACGAGATGTTCCGGCACATTCTGAACTTTTACCGCACAGGAAAGCTCCATTACCCACGACACGAGTGCATCCAGGCCTTTGACGAAGAGCTGGCCTTCTACGGCATCGTGCCGGAGATCATTGGAGACTGCTGCATGGAGGTACACCTACTCTTTCTTCTACAAAGCCTCCCCCTTGTAGTTCAAAATGTTACTAATTGTTACAAACTGCATCACAAATGAGAACCCACTTATACACAGATTGGTATTCATCAAGTTAAAGAGATAAATTGGATTTTGTTCCGTTATGAACAACAGAGGACACATTTTCAGTTGTCATCAGTCACATTATTGCTTTTCAGGTTTGTCAAATTGCTCCTAATGGTGTATGCAGTAGTCTTTGCCACTGTCTACAATCAAGGAAATAAAGGATGTAATAATAGCCTGCTGAACCATCAGGTGTAGTAGGATGTCTGCTAACCACATCTAATGGGGTTAAAACGTCTAATAATGGCCATTTAACATTCTGAATAGTGCGGTATGAACAATCCTTATAGACAAAAGTGAGATTTTGGATTAAAAACCCCAAAATGTTGCATATTCTTGCCCAATGACTCCATCGAGCCTCTGGGCTTCATTACAGCTCTAACAGTCCAAATGATGAGGGCAGCAGGTTTCAGCTTTATGTTCTTTTAACTGCAGTCCTTTTAGACGACTTTATAACGCCTGCATCATTTGTAGTGTACTTATGTGAACCTTTGACCTTTTATCTCTTTCTAATGGTTGACTCTAATGCTGGTTATTCTGCTTCTGCACTCATTAAGTCTCTCTGGAGGGGAACATCATCAGCCAAACGCCTAAAGAGTAAAAACATTGATGGATCTGAGGGGACGACTAACAAGGGCTGCTCTCAAACCCCATTATCAAACTTCGACTCATTAAAACAGCGGTGATGAGCCCTCAGAAACGGCAGCAGCCCAAATACAATCTGATTTGCCTTTTTATTGCTCCTGATTTTGGAAAGCTCCTTACAACGGCTTTCTGTAGGGGATTTCTTTAACGAGCCTTAAACAAGTCTCTTTGTTCCCTGCCCACTCTCAGCACAACAGATCACCTTCAGAGCTTGTTTTCCCTTTTATTAGCCTTGTCTGCACAGACTTTATTTTTATATCCCCGTTTTTATAGCTGACCCATTCATTGACTCATGAATGAGTAATTGTTCATTTCCTCTTATTTGGCAGATCTGATCATTTCCACAAATGTTGATTCAGCTCTAACAAATTCTGGAATCTAAATTCTTTTTTTTTCTTTGAGTCTTCATCAATTTCCCACAAAATTTTTTTTAGTCCTTTAGTTGACAAATTCTATTCATGTGTTTGATATTTACTGAAATTTGCTCATTTACTGAATATTAACTCTCCTTCTAGATCAAACTGTAGAAGCTGCTCGCTGCTTTACATTTTACTTGTCTTGCTAAAAGCTTTCATGAATGCCAGCAGCAGGTGCTACAGAGAGAAACAGTGATCATTTAATACAGAATGATGTAAAAACCGGGTGAAAGTACTTTGTTTCTTAAAATCTTAAAACTCCTCTATAAAAATATATGTTCCTGTCATCAGTCTGTGTCTATTTTTAACTGAACGAACATCTTCAGAAAGTCGGGCGAAAAGCAAAGTTCAGCTTTCTGCTCCATCTCAACCTGGATGCGTCAGATTCTCCAGAGAGCATCTGGCTTTTATCCCGTCTTCCTTCTCTCACCCCAACCAATCACAGCAGATGGCCCCGCCCCTCCCTGAGCCTGGTTCTGCTGGAGGTTTCTTCCTGTTAAAAGGGAGTTTTTCCTTCCCACTGTCGCCAAAGTGCTCATAGGTGGTGATTGTTGGATTTACCTCTGTATGTATCATTGTAGGATCTACCTTACAATTGTTGTTGTGATTTGGCGCTGTATAAATAAAATTGAATTGAATTTTCTAATAATTTTTACCTTTATGATGTTGAACCATGCCCCTTCTTTGAATTATTGTGGTTCAATATCAAAGCAGATAACTGAGCACTCACTTGTAGCACATTTATAAATGATTAAACTCCATTAGCCTTACAAGTAACCATCAATTGATCTCAAACCACACAGCATTATTCCCAAACGTTACAGAAAAGGCAGCTGTGTGACCGAAGTTATTGCAACAGTGACCGACCTACTTGCTTTTCATGTGGCTCCTTTAAAGACGGGGACCAGGCGTGAGATTAGTTGCAGTCAGTTCCTGTCTTCAAACCAACTTTGGTGGCTCAAGACAGCAATAACACAGGGATAAGAAGAGTCTGCCTGCTATAACTTTTCATGCATTGTTGTATGAAGCCTGGGGTGGACTGGTCACCAATGGAGCGTGCAGATTCCACATATCAGGCATGACTCTCTCAGCCACAGACTAGGCTGAATGTAAACAGAGAGTAAAGTACTTGCACGATCTGATATCGTCGTGTTGGTGTTGTTCCCAGATCATCATACTACTAGTGTAAGGGAAAGTTTTAGGCGTGTGTTTCTCAGCTGGAGAGCAGAGAGTTGCTTTATTACAAACTGTTCCTTTTTACAAGCCTGAACTTTATGTCTTGTAGCTAACATCATGTACTCTGTGTAAAACACAAAATGTTATTTCAGTCAGATCCTGAGCCATCTGTGCGTTAATGCTGTTATTGTTCCATGTGCCTAAACGCACGCAGTGCTTTGGGATTTTCTGCACTGTGTAAAACAGAATCAGAGTTTTGCACCATGGCTGCAGTCTCACAAGCTATAGTTCAAAAGCCTTGTTATGTCTGAAAAAGCATATGTGCTTGGTTTGTTGGCTTTGTTGGCCACTGATGATGCAGCTGCTGTGGTCAGCTGATAGAGAGGAACAGCCACACTCATGAGTGAAAAGATCAACCATAACCTGACTGTCATTCATAAATTAGAACTTGCAGCCTATGATGGGTCATTTTCATATATTTATTAACTCTTAGACTCTGAAGGTTTGCTGTTGATTTCACTGAGCAAAACAAGATGCCCCCTTCCCTGTATGGAGGTTCAGAGAGGTGTTTAAAAAAAGTGATGCTCTGCAGGAGAGCGGAAAAAAATCTCTCATCAAAACAGACAGTTTACTTAATCATCTACAGTAGCGTAATATTCATCCTCTCTTTAAACTGACAGCTTTTTGTGCCGTCGAATCTAACTTTATTAAATATTCAATACCAAAGCTTACTGTAATCTGATTACTTTTTTCAAGTAAGCAATAAAGTAAGGGATTACGATTGCAAAAAAGTAATTAAATTACTGCTACTTTCCCATAAGCATCCTGCGTTACTAAACGGATTTTGATTGTGAGAGTGTCTCATGACAATGATGTACGAGCGTGCGACGTATGTGGCAGCAACAGTATGGAGTCCAGGAGAGAGTACGACCATGCAGCGTTTAAGCTTGGAAGTACTCACATTACTAGTTTGATTCTGTAAAAAGTGACAAAACCATTAGTGTCCACTGTACATTCTTTGTGGGACGAAACGTTTTTATACAGCCAAAAAATTAATTTCAAATCTGAGCGAGTGCTGAGCACGCTGCCATGAGAATGTGAAATTCACAGAGAAACCCCACCCACTGACATGACCGCTGTGGCACCGGTGCAAACCTCCCCCGCCCCACTCCTGCTAAACAGGTGACAATAGATTTAAGAGCGACAGGACTCAGTGCTGCTGAATCTTTGATTTTCTTTATTTTCTGCTGTGTTTCACTTGCATCTATTTGAAAGAGTGAGTGCAAACACAAAACATTATTTTATTCTATATGCTGGAATATGCAGAATATAGGTTTAAATGTTAAACACATTTCTCCAAGTCTGTTGCAAATAATTTAATTTTTTCTTAATGCATAAAGTTAAAAGATTAAAAGTAAAAAGTTTTAAAAAGAGACTTTTCATTTGATTCAATTTTATATGATGGATTATGCAGAAAAAAATAGAATTGAGCTGAAAGGTCTATCGCTTTATTATGTATTCAGGTTGTGTATCATTTTTGTTAAAAGTAACTGAGTAATAAAGTAACTAATTATAGTAATCAGTAAAGTAACGGGGCTACTTTAACGGTTTTAATTCTGGCATGTTAAACCATCTATTGTATTTGTACTTGAACTATGAGACTGCATCGTAGATATTAATTTGACTAATTATAATGTCGACATTTTGTAACATAAATCCAATTAGTCCCACGATGAGTTGCCTTTTGACAGACATGTTATGAAATAGCGCTTTGGAGGGAAGCAAAGCAAGAAACATTGATGCTGCTCTGTGTGTGCGCACTGCTGAGAGAAGGCAGGGAGTGATGGCTTATCTCTGTTCTGATCTCTGTGTAGAAATGTTACAAAAAGCCTGAAACACTGGAACCTACTCTGCTCCCTTTAAAAAGGAAAACGTGCATCCTCGCATGCGTCTAGCAATAGCATTCTCCTCCTTCCTCACTCTGACTCTCTGTTGAGTTCAGTTTGCTTCTGCTCTGTTTCAGTAACATATCAGTATTATTGCAAAGCGGATCTGTGTGGGGCTCAGAGTGAGGACTGAGTAAACAGCAACAGGACAGAGCCAAAGTTTTGTTAATGCACTCAAAGCTTTGACCCATCCAGCCCTGCCAATTACGCACTCTTCCTGATAACATCTCTCCCTCTCATCCCAAATAGATGAACACTCCTAGCAGCAACTGACACACACACATAGCATAGACATGTTTTTTGTGTTAAATGTACAGCCATTGTTTTATTATTTGATGGACAGAGGAGTTGCGCTCATCAGCACAGGCTGACTCGCCGTGATTATATGTTGGCAAATGATCTATATTTATATATTGGATCTTGATTTATTGCAGACCTTCACCAATCTGTTTTAGAGGGATTGCAGTCAGTGCGAGTAAACCATGTCAAAGTTGTGTCTTTGCCCCAGATTAGGGGAAAAGTATTGTATTGTTTATTTGTAGTTTATGCATCAGAAAGTTTTCAGTAAACTACATTTTTCAGACATAGTTGTGAAAGTTGTCTTCCTTCTCCCACCCCAACCGGCCGTGGCAGATGGCCCCGCCCCTCCCTGAGTCTGGTTCTGCTGGAGGTTTCTTCCTGTTAAAAGGGAGTTTTTCCTTCCCACTGTCACCAAAGGGCTTGCTCATAGGGGGTCATATGATTGTTGGGTTTTTCTCTGTATGTGTTATTGTAGGGTCTACCTTACAACATAAAGCACCTTGAGGCGACTGTTGTTGTAATTTGGTGCTGCAGCAATAAAATTGATTGATTTGAAAGTTATTACAAACTCTAAAACTAAGATAAAAACATCGTAAATATTGGAAAGCATTGTTCTGATTTAATAATTGAGCCAATGATGGGCTATTTCACCAAAGGAGCTCTACTCTGATGCTTCTTTGATTAGAAGTATGCCACATAACTAACCAAAATAATACTTTCTTTTCACTAATATCATAGCAATAACTGCAATGACCATGAAAGTGACAACAGAAACAGGTACCTATTAGTTAAAAATATTAGTTAATTACTTTAAAGTATTTCTTCTTCTTTGCCTTCCAAACGGCATTATTCTGAGGTTCTTTAAACCAGCCATCCCCAACCCCCGGGCCTCGGACCGGTACCGGTCCGTGAGTCGTTTGGTACTGGGCCGCGAGAGTTGAGGCTCAGGTGTGAAATGTGTTGTTTTCAGGGTTTTTATCGGTTTTCAGTGTTATTTTGTTATCGTTTTTATCATTAACTCGGTTTTCCTTGGTCTTTTCACGTGTGTTATGAATAAATCTTCATTTTTTCGGTACCGGTACTAGTTTTATTTTGTTGTATTTATCCGCGACACCTTAAAGGCCGGTCCGTGAAAATATTGTCGGGCATAAACCAGTCTGTGGCGCAAAAATGGTTGGGGACCGCTGCTTTAAACGATATAAGTAAAATATTGCTGAATTGGAGCTTCACCTCATCACAAAATTCATGGTTTACTCTGATTGGTCAACTCCAGAAACCTGAGAAAGGCTCTTATGTATCAGCATTAGAAAAGGACAAATAAGTATCTGAAAGGATTTTGTATAACTTCTGTCTGTTGATGTTTTGGCTCAAGGATAGGGTACGAGGGCAGCCCAGCTGCTTGTAGGCAGTTTAAAGTCACAAGGTCTTTCCTTATCTACAGTGTAGGTGTACGAGGGGATTTGTGGAACTCTTTGTGAGCACAGACTATCAGAATTGGATGCTTGTTGTGCCTGTAATGTATGTTCACCTGTTCTCCTTTCATAGTAAATGGACCTAGAGTTTGTATTTTTATCTGTCTTCTGAAAAATTCTTTCTACATGAGAAGAAACCTGATCTCATCATAAACTACATACAGTTGTTACAGAATCCCTTTGTTATATGCTCAGCCACATCAGGCACTTAATGTAAGCGACACTAAAGTTTTTCTTTTCCATTCCCCTTTCCTGTGAAGGAATACAGAGACAGGAAAAAAGAGAACCAGGAGCGTCTGGCAGAGGACACAGAGGCCAACGAGTCAATGGACGCCCCACTTCCTCCTGACAGCACCCCCAGGGAGCGTTTGTGGCGAGCCTTTGAGAACCCTCACACCTCCACCATGGCGCTTGTCTTCTACTATGTCACTGGCTTCTTCATTGCTGTGTCAGTAATCGCCAACGTGGTGGAGACGGTGCCCTGCCGGCCTCCAGAGGGCAGAGTTAAGGACCTTCCCTGTGGGGAGAAATATCAGCTGGCCTTCTTCTGCATGGACACGGCCTGTGTGCTCATCTTCACCTTCGAGTACTTGATGCGCCTGTTCGCCGCGCCCAGTCGTTGCAAGTTCATGCGCTCTGTGATGTCTGTGATTGACGTAGTGGCTATAATGCCATACTACATTGGCCTGGTGATGCCCGAGAACGAGGACGTGAGCGGCGCCTTCGTCACCCTCCGGGTTTTCCGCGTCTTCCGAATCTTCAAGTTCTCACGTCACTCACAGGGTTTGAGGATTTTGGGCTACACGCTCAAGAGCTGCGCCTCCGAGCTCGGCTTCCTGCTCTTCTCCCTCACCATGGCCATCATCATCTTCGCCACCGTCATGTTCTACGCTGAGAAAGGCACCAAAGGCTCCACCTTCACTTCCATCCCGGCCTCCTTCTGGTACACCATCGTCACCATGACGACCCTGGGGTGGGTAAACATCAGTTCAGTGTTGTGTGTTTGCTGGCCTGACGTGTAACAGATTTTTATCCTGCTACTGATGACTGTACACCTGTTAAGATCGTCCCCATGGCAACCTTGGCATGTTCAGTTTCCGTAAACACTCTCGTGTCGGGACATGGATACGTCCTCATTATTAGTTATGGAAGACAGTTTTACTGTCTGTTTCCACCATGAAAAGAGATGAAGTGTGTGCGTTGCGTGTGTGTCTGTGTGTTTGCTTCCCACTCGTTGCTTGTCGAGTACGGTGGTGTATCTTCACCCTGCTGCCGCCTACACTCATCACCGCTGCCATGTGGATAGAGTTTGATTGTGTGTGTTTCTGTGTGTGTGTGTCTTCACCCTGCAGCTCTCCAGCCCTGATCTATTATCTGCTGTTCAAAGAGCCTTTGGAAACATCAGAAATAGAGCGTGAGTCAGGAATCTGCCATAAGCTGAGAGCGAGCCGACCATACTGCTTTTTAACAACACACAGTCAGCGCGTCTTCTCTATACGACTCTTTACACCTACCTGTCTGTGAATGGAGAGAAAGAGAGTTCAAAAGGTGTGAATGGGAAAGTGTGAATTGCTGCGAATGACTCAAACTGCTCAGTATTGTAGTAAACAATCAGCAGTGTTAAAATGTAAAGAGTTGAAACACTGACTTATTTGGGTGAAAGAAAATAAAAGGTTTTATGGGGTTTTTTCCAGCACAATGCTGGCTATTAAAATCCTGCACTTTGCATCGCATCCACTGCAAAACAAGATTAATGGGTTAGAGAGTTTTATAAAGCTTAAAGTCACGTAAATGATGTTTTGGGAATTTTTGTAACTCACGTGTTGTGCTGCCACCAGATTGTACAGAGGGAGCAGTTTGAAAAGATTACATTTTCTCTAGAAACAAAACTCTTTTGCTTCCAGGTTTGACTTATTCTCCTCTCATACCAGCGCTGATGTAGCTGGTTTGCCTGGGTGGCACACCCATTGTTCACAAGCGTAGTGCAGAAGGTACTCGTGCCCTAAGCACCGGTATAATTGCTATGGAACTGTGTCGACGTCACCATTGGTGTGCAAAGTGACCAATAATACTGTGGCCCTAACACAGCACCAATTAGGGTGGGAAAACCTATTCCATTAAAATTAGCATCACTTTGATTGTACAACAAACTAATGCAGTTTCACATCTCCTTTATAGGACAGAAGGCTTTAATGCTTAAACGCATTCAGTTTAAAGTTTCATAGCTCTGATGTGAAGCCATCACATTAGAAATAAACAGCAGCACTTAGCGCTCACTCAACATTAAAATAATTAACTCAAATTAAAATGTTCTGTGGGCTGAAACAAACACATCTTAAGAGAGACAGACCCCTCTCACTTTGAGTTATGACTGGCTATAACCCAAAAGGACATCTTGTACATAATGAGCTATAGGAAAACAGGAGCATGTGCAGGTCATGTGGTGTCCACATTAGTTGACTGGTGATGCGCAAAGTGATCATCATCAGTCTATTCTTAGTGATCCTCTGTGTGGAGGACTGTGTGGCCACCATCCACCCCAGCCTCCATCTGCTAACAAATACAATTCACAAATACATTTTAATGGAATTATTTGACAAATTACAAGGCTTAATGTGTGGTGCTGAAGAAGTGTTGTCTAGTTTATGGTTATAACTCGTAACCAAGCTTGTTAACTGATTACTTAGTACTCCACCATGTCACTTAAATATAGTCACTTCTGGCTTCAAAACAAACATCAAAATGTGGAGTCCAGAAACCAACTGGTAACAATGTTTTCAAAAGTAATGTTAAAAATGTTAAATATAAAACGTCATCATAATCCCCAAAGCAAGAGAGAGGAGAACAATTTTCAAAGTCTAACAAAACACATGCACCTCTCCTCTCCTTCCTGCACTGCATGCTGGGAGTGTGAGTGAATGGGTGTGTGAAGGTGTTTGGTGAGTGCGTGGAGCTGCTGAGTGAGTTTGGGACGTTTGGACTGTTTTTTTCGGAAAACTTTGGGCTTATGGGTGGTTAAAAGCAAGGTAAGGCAAGTTTATTTCATTGTGTTGGGTGAAGTGAAGAATTTTAGTTAATTGGCCAGTTTTACCTTGAGTCATGGCGTCCCTCCCCAGTGAGGGTTCGCCTCCCCTGTCTATTATACATGGGGCCAGGGTGGTGGCACCCCAGCAGTACACCGTGAGCAGGTTCTGCTAGCTGTTGGTGAACAGGTGGGCCATGAGAATATAACTTATGGCTCTCGGATGAACAAGGCTGTGAGGAGCGCTTGGTTCACCCGTTGGTTGAAAGGGGGATCATTCTGGATGATTTGTTTGTGGCTGTTTCGCCACTGTTTGTGTCATCTACGCGGGTTACCGTCCCGCCGTTCATCCCGAATGAGCTACTTGAAAAGGAACTGACCCGCTTTGGAAAGTTTGCTAGCGGGTTCAGGGTTGTTCGTGTTGGCTGCAAAGACGCCAGTCACTATGAAGGCAGGCCTTCGTGTACCTGAACGATCCTTCGCAGACACTGGAAGTGTCGTTTAAAGTAAGATTTGAAAACGGCTTATATACTGTTTACGCCAGTGCAAGTAGCATGAAGTGCTTTGAGTGTGGTGATGTTGGCCATAAACGCTCATCCTGCCCTCACAAAGAGCAGGAGGTGCGCCGTGAACAAGAGGTTCATGCTAGTGGGGTGAGTGAGCAGGAGCGCGCTGTAGATGCTGGTACGGGAGAACCGGCGGCTCGTAGCGGTGCGGAGCCGTCTACGAGCCGCGCTGTCATCAGTGAGCCGTTAGCGGCGCAGGGTGACAGAATGGAGGTCGCAGCCAGTGCTCCACAGGCTGGGCTAGAAGAACAGGGGATAGTACACGGGACTAATGAGGTGGAGGATGGATGTGATGACATACAGGACAGGGAAAGTGTGGAGGAAAATCAGGACAGTGGACAGACCAAAGTAACGGCAAGGGAGGTGGGTATTGTGAATGTAGTTTCAGGTTCTTTGAGCACAGAAAATGAGGAAGACGACTTGTTGGAAGATGATTCCCGGTCACAATGCTCTGATGTTGTTTCACAAGAAGACCATCAGCAGTCGTATTCCTTAGAAGATATAAACCGCTTTTCGGATGAGACATTTGGTATGCAGTCTGTGGAAGTCACTGAGTTTTTTCCAGATGTTGATCTTTTTATAAAATCTGTTCTGAAAATAAGAAGAGTTGTTGGTTATGAACAATTGAGCAAACAGAAAAGATTCCATCTTAAAAAGATCCTGACTAAGTTAAGGAGGGAAAAACGAGGAAAAGCTCCTTTAAAAGCATAGTAAAATGTTCTGAGCACTAAGGGTGTCTTTCTGGAAGCGTCTCACTGTCTTTTCTCTTTTTCTCCTCCTCTTCTCTCTGTCTTATATGGCAAATTTGAGAGTAGGCACACTTAACATTAATGGGGGTAGGGATAGGGAAAGGTGTGCAGTCTTGGTGGAGCTTAGCAAGAACAAAAACATTGATGTGTTCATTTTGCAGGAAACACATAGCACTATGGATAATGAGACAGAATGGGGAATGAGTTGGAGTGGGCAGGCTTTTTTAAGTCATGGTACTAACCTTAGTGCGGGTGTAGCAATTTTATTTTCTAGGCACCTTCAACTGTCACATGTTTCTGTCTGTGAGATCGAGCAGGGAAGGGCATAGGTAGTAAAAGCAACCATCAAGGGAATATCATTTGCTTTTATGAATGTGTACGCCCATAACTCAGCTGCGGGTCGTGTGCGATTATTTTGTAAAATTAATGATGAGTTATCAAAATTAAATAGTGGTTCAATAATAGTGGTGGGAGGGGAATGGAATTGCATAACCCACTTAAGTGCGCATGCGCCATTAGCGTGTTGCCTGCTGTAACCCTAATTTCCTTTGGGATTAATAAAGTATTCTGATTCTGATTCAGATTCTGATTCAGTTGACAGAAACACAGTAGAACCTCACGCACCTTCGAGCTCACTTTTGTCTACAATCGTTCTTCAGAAGGATTTGACTGATGTGTGGAGGAAGCTCCATCCCACAACCAGACAGTATACATATGTTAAAGTTTCTGAGAGCAGTGTGAAGGCAGCTAGGCTTGATAGATTATATGTCAACCAGATGTATAATAATAGACTCGTTAAAGCATTGATGCATCTTCCATCTGTTCGCACTGGCACTTTAACGTGCAGCTGATTCATGACAAAGAGAGCTTTTTCTGACTTCTGGTGCCACTGGAAACAAAGGAAAACTGACTTTTGCAATTTGGCTCAATGGTGGGAGATGGGGAAAACACAGATTAAGCTTTTTTGTCACCAGTACACATCACATGCAACGACCGCTATTAAAGACTACTATGAGGACTTAGAACGAGGGCTCAAGAGGCTAGAGACTGAGATTATAAGTGGGACAGATAATACAAATAATACCTGGGACAGCAGGAGGAAGGCTTTGGGCAAGTTTCTTCACAAAAGGGCAAAGGGTGCTCTTATTTGGACTCGGATTTCTACTATTAAAGAAATGGATGAGCAACAAGGTTCTTGTTTAAGCTGGAGAAAAGGTTTCGAGCGTCACACCAAACGTTGCACTTACGGCTTCCAAATGGGAAGGTGACATCTGACTCAGTGGAAATGAGGAAGCTTGCCACTGACTTTTATGCCAGCCTCTTCAGTGCTGACACGAGTGACCCTGAATGTGTGACGAAGATGCTGGTGGGGCTGCCACGGCTGAATCGGCTGTGTTGGAGTCTGCTATTTCATTTGAGGAGATGTCTTCAGCAGTTCAATGACTCAATGGTGGTCGGTCATCAGGAGTTGATGGTCTTCCTGCGGAATTTTACCAGGAATTCTGGTCGCTGCTAGGAGAGGACATTCATGAGGTTTTCACATTCTGTATGACCACTGGGATCTTGCCAACGAGTTGCACGAGGGCAGTTTTGACTTTACTGCCAAAGAAAGGGGACCTGGGCTTGCTCAAAAATT